TGAAACGGGCCAGGAGCAAGCTGATTAGGGAAAATTAAAGAGTGAGAGAAGAGGCACATGACTAGGGAGGCTGAGAATCAGGATTATGTTTTTGCTTTTGCTTAATCAGACCCAGATCCGGTTGTGATTACAGCTAGGTGCGTTCAGCGAGAAAATTGTATTTTCCACTGGTTACGCAGGAAGATTCACTCTTAGTTTCATCCATTCTTGCCCTTGCTCTTCACGGGATCCTACGATCTGTTGACCATGAGAACTACTGTTATAGCTGGTACAGCGAATGGGTTTTAATGGGTGAAGTTACCATTACTGACGTGAGGACACAGTTGAAGGAAGCAGCAACAGGCCAGCAGGAGGCAAGAGACACATCTGTTGCACCGTACACTGCACACACAGAACGCAGTGAACGGTGAGACGTCGGACCGACTGAAGGAAGTAAGGTGAGACGAACAGAAGACAACGGACTTACCTGTTCGACTGTGTGTTGCCCACACAGTCGAAGGAGCAGCACTGCAGCAGCAGACCAACAACAGACTGTGGACTTGCCAGTTGGACTGTGCATGCTCACACAGTCAGAGGAGGCAGTGACAGGCCAGCGACGAACAGAAGACTTACCTATCGGACTGTGCGTTATTCACACAGTCGGAGGAAAGTTGCAGCAGGTCAGCGGCAGACGGAAGATTTACCTGATTGAATTGTGTATTTCTCACACAGTTGAAAAAAACAGCAACAAACCAGCAGCAGACTGTGGGCTTGCTGTTGGACTGCATACTCACACAGTCAGGGACCAGCAGCGGATTGTAAACTTGCTATTAGACTGAGCATGCTCACACAGTCGGGGACCAGCAGTGGACTGTGGGCTTGCCGTTGGACTGTGCATGCTCACACAATCGGAGAGGAGCGACGTGAGACCAGCATTGAATTGTGGACTTGCCTGTCGACGCATGCGACTGGCTGCCATTGCGGGGCCCTCAGGATCTGAAGGCACCAAGGCCCTCTGATGTGAGTTGAGTTGGCCCCTTCTCGTATCTCGAGCGTCTGACTTATCTTCTTCTATCCTTCTTACTCTCAGTCTAGTCTATGTTTGGAAAGGAAGGCGGCAGGCGGGATTGCAACCCGTAGGACCGCGTCAAGGCCTTTGTGGGAGGTTGACCCACCGATTGCGGGAGCTTTGCCGGAGCCCAGGCGCGACTCTGGAGGCAGGGAACTCAGAGGTAGGCCGATACTATACCACTAGTATCCCAATAAACCCCTATCTATGCAAACCTGGCACTTGGTCTGTTTGACTTTGACTTGTGTATACGTTTTGTTTTCTTTTTCAGGACTCTAACTGAATCAGAAAAGAGAATGTACTATGCATATTAAGTCATCTGTCTGGGGTAAAAATCACGATGTTTGCATGCGATGATATGAACTGGGGCTGGAAATGAGGTCCTCCAGATTGATCCGGTCGCCTTGCTGTTTTGCCTAAGACATTGAACAAGGGCTGAAAATGAGGTCCTCCAGACTGATCCGGTCGCCTTGCTGTTTTGCCTAAGACATTGAACTGGGGCTGGAGATGAGGTCCTCCAGACTGATCCGGTCGCCTTGCTCGTTTGCCTAAGACATTGAA